AGGAGGGCAGAATTCCCCTTGGCAGGGGGATGCAGCAGATGGTATGTCCTTCTTGCACTGTGATACCTGAGAGTCTGCAATGCCTGGATGAATGAATGCATTGTTGCGAGCAGGGAGGAACAGCGCAGGTGGCATGCTCATGATTGCCGAGAATTGATGGAAATACAGCATCAACTTGCAATGGTCTGGCAGGACGTCAAATGGTGCCAGATGCCGAACCCATGTGGCTTGCAGTGATATTGATGTGTGTCCCTCCATCTCATGTTCGCTTTGTCAGAAAGAGAAAATACATTGCAATTCTGCCTACAAGGCATTGGTAGGTACAATTCCAGGCACAGAGTGTACTAATGTGGTGCCCGTAACCACCCCAACTGAGAACCACAATAATCACCATATCTTGGGCGATGCCATACCTTGGAATGAGAGAAGAAGATCAATACCATATTGAGAGCAAACAGCAGCAACGGTTGTACCCTGACGGTGGCACCTGCAGGTGCCAGCGGCATGCTGTGGAGTCATAGGCATGCGGTGCACGTCAGGTTGCTTGGACACGAGGGGCGTCCTACCTGTGTCCAAGAACCTGGACTCGATGGGCTTTATGGTGAAGACCCCCAGCCTTCTGGGGCGGGCTGCCGAGCTGCTGCAGCTGCCCGGCAAGAAGGATTGGCGGGGTGATGTGATCAAAATCTACCTGGCAAGGGACCTGTTCTCGAACTGGCGTGGGGAGGAGGGCTTTGCCATGTACGCTGCCATCGCCAAGGCGTGCTTGAAATGGGCAGGCCCTGAGATGGTCGAGGAGTTTGACCTCTCCCAATTTCTGGATGCTCATGCAGGCAAGCCTGAGCTGCGCTAACCCTTGGGGATTGATTGGTTACCCAAGGTTGCCCAATGCTGTTAATGGGCACAGTCATTGTCCTCTGTTTTCTTGCTGGCTCTGAACTCCTCTGGGATTCCGAACATTGCATTGGTGCACACGACAGTGCAATAATCATGCTACAAGCGCTGTGATGACAGGCGCACAGTGCTGCCAACCACACTGGTGGTCTGAACTGCTGTAGTGCCATGAGTGTATAAACTGCCAAGATGCAACGCAAACTTCTACTTTCGTCTCAACCGTTGCCTAGAAATCAATTGCTTGCAGCACCAGCATATGATGCACGGCAACCAGGTTAGTGAAATATTGGCGTTCTACAACAGCAGGCTGATAAATAATGCTGCTGAAGATTGTGCCATTGGACCATCAGGGTGCTTCCAAGGTGGCGGACAGCATCGTGAAACTGTTTGGGGGTTTTCCATGGTTATAGCGATGTCTGAAATCGGGTGTCTTGTCAACAGGGGATTGGAAGGAGTTTGCTGGGCAGGATGGCGACGTTTATGAAGGGTTGCGACAGGCTGGCCTGTGCATCGGCAAGCATGAACTCGCTGAGTGTCACAGGAGCAAGGACGATCACAGTGAGCGGAATGAAACATCGGAGAATGAGACTTCACCGTCAGCGTCTCAAGTAGGTGATGACGACCTGTACAAGAAAGCCCTGAAGATCAGGAGCAGCGTGCAGGAAGCATTCAAAGCTGGCATCCGGGAGAACAAGCTGGTTGTGACACCATTGCTTTTACGGCCTCCGATTCCCCGCTCAAGTTCTTTGGACGAATTGCATCAATTCGAGAGCGAGTGCCAGCGGCTGTGCGCCCTGGCCTCGCTCGTGGGGTGCCCACAGGTCAACTTTCCTGTCCACAGTGCTTCGGGGCAGCTGTTCTCCGTGGCCATCATGTCCCTCAACAAGTCAGACCGTCCCCTTCTGGCCATTACCGAGAAGCTCATCGACCAGATAACGAAAATGATGGCCAAGAATGAGCCAGAGCGCACCCTCGCTGCCAAGGAGCCAGCCTCGAAAAAGCATGCGAATGGGAAGCACACAGACGACAGGGAGGCAGAGGCGGAGAAATTTCGACACCTGGGGAATGACTGCTACAAGGAGGGCAGGTTTGAGGAGGCCATAGCTGCTTACACCCAGGCCATTAGGCGACACCCAAAGGCTGTGTACTACAGCAACCGGGCCCAGGCGTACTCCAATTTAATGGACTTCGAGGCGGCTGAGGCTGACTGCACTGCTGCACTGGCACTGGACTCGGTCAATGCGAAAGCCCTTCTGCGGCGCGGGTTTGCTCGGGAGGGCATGAACAAGATGGCTGAGGCTAAGAAAGACTTCCTGCAGGTGCGGCCGGGACCTGTGAACATGCTACCTGGATGCTGAGTTATTCCTGTTGCAAGGTAACTCACTGGAAGGGGTGCCTTATCAGCTCGGGAAAGTGCCCCACACTGCCCTCTGGCAGTGTGGGGCATCCCCAGCTGACGGGGTGGAACTATATGCAGTCTGCGAAGGAGGCTGGTCGTCCGTATGCCCAATACATCATGCAACGTATCGGTCACGGCCCCCACAACATTCAAAATCAGGAGCGCCCTGCGCCTGCCCCCAAGTCGTGGGCTGTCGTGGGCTGTTGTGAGGCCCTTGTGCCTTGGCAACCCAAAAGATAGGGCAGCAAGGGCTGGCGCCCGGACATCAGGAGATCCCACCCACCCCACCCACCCCAGGCGCACGCTGCTGACAAGCTGTACGGCATCGAGATCGGCAGCCGTGGTGCTGCCGATCAGGGAGGGACGCCATGCGAGTCCTGGGGTGAGAAACAACGCAGCACACCACTTGCCATGCAGCAACCCGCTCGCACTCGAGCGACGAGGATGTAGCACGGCCTCTTGAGGCATGCGATGCTCCACAGATTGCTGTTGGCAATCGAGAGAAACCTGGTCTTCGCAAGGGAGTGGAGAGGGCCAAAAACAGTTGCAATTTCCCACATCGGTCAAAGCAGCTAGTGATCCCAACAACCTATGTAGATAGTGCAAACACATAAGCTCAATGTTTCACGTTTGTAGGGTTCGCATGAACGATCTTGAACCACGCCAGCCCAATCTCTGTAAGTTGGTATTCAAACGTTTTGGTGAGGAGCGCCATGCCTACAGGCTGGTGTTGCTCCCACATACATTGGGACTTGTTGTGTGGGTGAGGAGATCTACAATCTTGAATGCAGTGGGGATTGGGCTGGATGGGCATCAAAAATAAGATTCTTATTAAGTGCCAGCAGTGGCACGCAATGCAGACAGCACCCACGGGAGGCGGCAACTTTGCAAGTCGTTCAGTCTGTGCGAGTGTTTGGTGGTGCTGGATTGGGTGGGGAGGTGGGTAGAGGCGTGAGCGATTCTGTGATGGACTCAGACGGGAAGCATACAGATTCGTTGTCCGATCCGCAGCGACTGGCGCAAGGTGCAAGCTTGGAAAACCCTCTTGTTTAGAGGCTGCCGATCTCAATGCCATGTTTCGGGCGGCTTGCCGGTGGTGTGTGCCGGTGACGGGTGGGATCTCGTTTTCTCCGGGCACCAGCCCTTGCTGGCTTTGCTTTTGGGTTGGCACGGCGCCGAGGCCTCACAGCAGCCCATGACTTGCCGCAGGTGCGGGGCGCTCCCGATTTTGAGTGCAGTGGGTTTCTGGCGCAGGCGCAGTGGCTGTTACGATGCATGATGTATCGGCATGTGGGCGACCAGTCCCCCTCCTTGGACAGCATATAGTTCCGCCCTAGCTGACGTATTCCGGAAAGCTGTGGTGTAGCCCCTTGGGATCTGGTGCCTGCCACGTCTCACCATCATCTTGTGCAACCAGTGACTGGCTGATTGCTTTGGCGGCTCGCCTGACTGTATGGAATTTGGAGCACAACAGTGGAGCACTGTGTATTCCTTAGGTGCTTGCCATCGAGCCGAACAACGTCCAGGCCCGAGAAGAACTGAGGGTTGTGAACAGGAAACTCAGTGCAGCACACTGAAGGCCTTTTGGGGATGGCCCAAGGAAGGTCATCTGCACGTCCTTTCGCTGGTTCGCTGCGAAGCCGTCCATGCTGATCCCTGGAGATGTGCCGCTTCGGCAGGAAACCACACAAGTGGGTTGCTTCACAAAGAAAGGCAAAACTTTGGTATGGGGCGTTCCTTAAGGCCAGAGGCTGGTAGCCCAAAGCAGCACACTTGATGTGGCCAGGATGACTCTGGACATGCAGCAACGGGGTATGGAGATGCTCTGGTCGACGCCAGCCCTTAGCATAGGTATTCGAGTTGTCGTTCAAGGTGCTAGCCATTGGTTGATCTTCCCCAACCCTGTGGCAGTGATATCACAAGAAAGGACTTTAGGATTCTGGAAGCAGGGTCGCATCTTGGCAGGGTTACAGGATGGAAGGAGCTACTTGCACAAGTAGCAGTTGCAGCATTGTGCAGTCAGGTTTAAAACTGCCAACACTAAGAATGCTGTTGAGGGATTTGCAATCAAGGGGTGCTATGTGTCCCATATGATGTTGTCCCTCCATTTTGTGGTCTGCAATGATCTGCCGGCTGTCAGCCACTGAAATCACACAGGTTTGAGGCCTGCATGTCCACAAACCATGTTAAGACTCTGCTTTGCAGCTGGCCAAACCATTGAATCTCAGCAGTGGTCCTATACATCAGCTGTCTTTGTCACTGCACTGCATGCCATAGGATTGTGGTGAAATTGTCAGGACGTTGTGCAGAGCATTGCTCAAGGTGAGGGGCATAGGGTCAAGTAACCAGTATTGCTGCAGTGCCAGACCTTGAACCGGAGCCATGGGACTCTGCTGTGCAAATTGCCAGCACTGTGGGTGCCACTCAGCATGGCTCCCGTGTCCATAACCGGCATATGACTATGGAATTCGCCCAGTGCACCACGAGCAACTCGCTTCCTGTACACTAGCGTTGAAAGGCACATCTCCAATAGGCTAGTATTCCCCCTCTTGTATCCCATTTCAAACCCACCTGATCCTCCATTGTGGCCTACTGAGTTCCCCCCCCACCCTGCAATTCGGTGTCTGCTCTGTCTATCCCGGAGAACCCGCATCCCAAATTTTGACAACTTGTCCTCCACCAGACCCTGTCGTTAACCTCCTAAGCGTGAGACAGCACACCTTAAATGTTATCTCTGTGCCGTCAGCCCGGGTACCCTAAAATCTTGGACCACTTTGCCAAGGCAACCATCCCCTGAGACTCAGCCACCACTATCCAGTGTGAGTATGCGTCCACTTTACAGTGCCAAGGACGACGTACCAAGCTGCTTCTCACCCCCAGCCAAGGCCACCCCACCCACCCCTCCCCAAGAGCTGCAACACCACCCCACAGTTCCCTTCTTCCTTCGAGGGTCATCGCCGCCACACGTACACGAAGAGCACCAGAACGCACACGGCGATCACCGTCGACAGGATTATCGTGTCCCTGGACTTCCTCCGCGCGATGGCCCTCAGCAGGCCGTTCACCGCCGGGAACCGGGACCCCATGGCGTACAGCCTGTCCCCGATCCCCTCGAACAGGCGCCGCTGGTCCTTGAGGTCCCCATGCACCGCGTGCGCCGTGCCAATGACTTCATCGATTGCCGCCGTGGAGGACGCGATTGTGTTTCGCTCCCGCAGCAACGCGCCCTGCACCTGCACGCCTAGCAGAGGCGCCCCTTCCCCCGCCCCAGCCAGCAGTTCCGCCCTGTCCCTGGCGGCGCCAACCGACGCGTTCAGCCGCTGGCTCTCCTGCCCGAATTCGTGCAATATGTCCCTGTGTCGCGCCAGCATGTGCTGCAGCCTGCCCTCCCCCCCCGCCGCCGCGGCGCCCATGCGGTCGTTCACCTCCAACAGGCGCTGCAGCAGGCCGTCGATCTCCGCGGCCTTCGTCCGCAGGACCTGGTCCGTGGGCGGGGCCCCGGGGCCGGACTGGCTCCCGGGCGAGCCGTCGAAGGCGGCGCAGAGCTTAGCGTACGCCGCGAGCTTGACGTCGATCTCGCCCTCCAGCCGCCGCGCGTCGCGGCGGTAGGCGTCCCACTCATGGGAGGTGGAGGCGGGGGAGGGCGGGGCGCCCGAGGTGCTCTCCCGGTGAGCCATGGCCGGCGGGAGCGCGCGAGGGGCGCGGGAAGCTGGGGGGACGTCCCCGAGCGGGTTTTGTCCCTGCGGCCGCTTTGTAGTTGCCCCGCTTTGTTTCCAAAGGGTGCCAGCCATTTCGTTTAAAGACAACTCGTCTAACGGACAAGTGGTCTAAGGACATTATGTGTAATGGACAACTCGTCTAAAATTCCGTTGACCCGAGTTGACTTGCTAATATCCACATCGCACCTGCAGCCAGTGACCCGAGGGCCCTTACCCGTTGAGCGCATTCCCCTAAACCCAAAAACCTACTCACTCACATCCGCATTCCAGCTCAAGCTGGTGCACCGAAATGGTACGCTGTATGTTTTGTGGTGATAAAACAAAAACAATTGCTTGCGCATTGATGCCCGTGAGCGTGGAGCTTCAACGCCCTTTGTCCACGAATCAATTCCCATTGTGGACTAGGGTCGCGTTAGCCCGCCTCTCCCGTCTATCCGCCTTCTTGCCTCGGAGGATCTGCTTGCTCCCTCGCTGCCAATCGGCGCTGCCATTCGGTTACCTCTCCCGTCGATCCACCTTCGCGGCATGGAGAATCTCCGTGCTCCATATCTGCTAGTCGACTCTCCCTTTCGCCACCCTCTCCCGTCGACCTATTTTCGCGCCTTGGAGGATTTGCTGGCTCCATCGCTGCCAATCGGCGCTGACATTCGGCTACCTCTCCCGTCGATCCACCTCCGCACCTTGTAGAATATCCGCTTTCCATAGCTGCCAATCGACGCCCCTCGCTGCGCCAAACCGCGCCACACCCGCCAGCCACGTGCCTGGATCGGCGCTCACCCTCCCGTGCTGTCCCGCCCCCTGTGCGCGCGCCAGGAACGCGCCCAGGAACCAGTTCGGAATGCAGCCCGCCACAAACGGAATGAAATGTAATTGTAGCTTAATGCAGTTGATGGGCGCTGCTTAGACGAGTTGACTCAACTCGTTTAAAGACAACCCGTCTAACGCAAAGACAGAGTCAACGTTGCAATTGACTTCACCATAGGGAAGCTGAATACACGCAACGGCTTTGAAAACGAGTGGTATTGTAACAGAGAAGTTGGTGTCATTGGCACACAAACAACCCGTGGCCCTGTTTAGGGTGGATCGCTCGTTAGACAAGTTGCCCTTAGACCAAATGTCCTTAGACCACTTGTCCGTTAGACAAGTTGTCTTCAGACGAATGGGCCGGACACCGTTTCGAAAGCGGGAGTTTGAGAGCATTTTTGCGCCACGGGGTTTCCGCTGTACGGCCCGGGCGCTGGCGGTCTCCTATGAGGCCTGTACGGCTCTTCTGTGGTACCAGCGACGCCCAGTCGGGCCGGGGCACATTGCCTCTGCGCACACCGCCAGCTTCGCAGAGGGTCCCTCACTCCTGCTTGGCGTGCCCCACCGCCCCGGATTGCCGGGCCCCCCCGCAGGCCAGCGTGCCGGCGGCCTCACGACGACGTTGAAGGGCCCCGTATGTTGATCGCCCCAGAAAAATTCGGCCCCTCGAGGGGTTCTCTCGAACGGGCGCAGGGGAGCCTGCCGTCGTAGCGCTTTCCCCCCCCTCCCACCCCCCCGACTCCAGGAGTCGTCGCCAGCCCGAGCGACCAGTGGATGGAAGGTGCGGATGGAAGGTGATGCCTGAACCCCGCGGCTGCGCCCACAGTTGTCAGCCATCATCTGCGCGCCAGCCGTCCTTTTGTCTCCTCCGATAGGCGCCGATCGCCCTCGATTCTGATCAGTTCGCTTGTGCTCCAGCGCAGGGGCTGGGGGACTGGGCGAGTTGATCGCAGACGGCATGCCTCCCGCGCCGATGGCGCGCTCGGGCTCGTCGGCTGGCCGGCCAGGGCGGATCGGGCGGCGTGCGCGGGCGTCGGGCGAGGGGCCGAAACGCGTCCAGTCCATTAACTGCGAGGAGGAGCTGGAGCTGGCGCTGGCGATTTCGGCTTCCGAGGCGGGGACGGTGGCCCAGTGGGTCCGGCGCCCGGGAGGGAGGGACGGGAGGGAGGCGCGCGAGAGGCAGGAGGCGGAGGACAGGGACTTCGCGTTGGCGCTGCAGCTGCAGTCGGAGGGGGAGACGAGGCGCCGGGTGGGTGGCGCGCTGTCTTTGTCGTGGCTTCAATCTTGAGCAAATTGGGCCAAATGGCTTTGGGCGCGGCATGAGTGGTTTCTGCGAACAGCGGTGTTGTGGTGATTCGTTCTTGCTGAGCCCGAGGCGCACCGGCGCGTGGGCACCCGGGAGGTGCGCACGGCGCTGAGACATCCCCGGTTTTTGGATCTGGTGTGCGCAGCCCACAATCCCGTCGAGTACACCGGGGGACCAGGCGCCGGCGCCGCCACGACAGGGCGGCCAGGCGAGGCCGGGCGCGGAACAGCCGACCACGAGCTCGCCTGACGAGCTGATGGACTCGCACCGCTGCGCGGGTTGCAACAAGTGGCTGGGATTCCACAAGTGGATGTCTGCCCTTGAGAAAAAATGGCACACAGATTGCTTCAGGCACGTTTACTTGGGAGGAGAAGCGGTCCCTTGTCCTGCCTTTCAGCGTGGGGCCAACAACGCGTGCTCACGACGGAATAAAACTTGATTCTGCTCTCGTCTTGCCACGCGGATCAAGGCACTGCCTCCTGGGGTAGTGCTCCACTCGAGGCCTGCTCTGTAACTGAGGTCCTCCTCTTGATGAGCACCTTTAAACCAATCCACACGCCTCCACAGTCCTCCTGTGCACTAGCTGGCTTGCCTGTGGGAGGTGCCTTTCTTCAGCAATCCTGAGACTGTGATCCCCTGGCCCAGGTGTCCGGGATGCCGCAAGCCCATTCAAGGCAAGTACAGTGCGAAAGACGGGGAGCCGTATCACCCCGAGTGCCACAGAGTGCTCTTTCATGAACGATGCAAGGTGAGGAAAAATGAACAGTGTTTCACAAAGCATGCTACCTGGGCAATTGCCTCGCATTTTTCCCCTTTCCCTGCAAACAAGGGAGGTTCACAGATCAGATTCGCTTTCATATCCCACCTTGCACAGTCAGACATTAGGCAATCGCATGTGGCTGTATGAAGACTGCACGCTGGTGTCCACTTGTGGTATGGACAGGTAGACACTGTATCTTGATCATGAAGTAGCTGGTTATTCTCTGACCAAGAGAAAGGGTAGCAATCGGCATCAACACAGAAGGCAGTGCAGCATTGGTGGGACTGTTGTAATGCTTGTGTGAGTCAATATCATTGTCTCCAGTGCCAAAGTTCATCTCCTCAGCCTATTGTGCACAGAAATCAGTCAGTACTGGGATTCTGTTGCTTGGGTTTGGCCACGGATTATGGCTGCACAGGTGTGCAACAACCACCTCCCACTGGTGGCAAATAGGATTTCATGGTCGGAGCACCCGTTCTGGAGACAAAAATACTGTGGGAAGCACAACACAGATGGCACGCCGCGCTGCACAGCTTGTGAATGTCTGAAGGGCCGAGGTAGGCACTTTTACTTCTTTGTCACATGAACCTGTCACTGTCGGCATCAGGGCATCGCCTGCCAAGACCCCACAGCACTGCCCTGTATCCAAACAATTTGCCATTGTGATTCATTTTGCACTGGCAGGCTTAGCAGGGGCCACCTTGTATAAGACTGTAACACTGACTGCAGCAGTCATTGCTGCAGCAATTTAGCAGTGCTCGCACAAGTCCCTGTACCCAAATCAGGCCCAAGGTCCACTTGGGAAGTTGCTGCATGCCTTCTGCTGGAGACAAAATCAGAGCATTCACCTCCTGTCCCAGTGCTTGCTATGCTTGCATCGTTGCCTTATTCTGGTCTTGGGGCCAGGGAAGGTGCTATTTGATGGTGAAGAAAGTGATGCCAGCAGCGATTGTGGGCCCTTCCTCTGGATGCTGTCACTGGGGGTTGTTGTACTGCATGTCTACCATGCATGCTGCAGGTGCGAATTGGGTGCTTCTTGAGGATGGTCGGCAGCTGTGCTCCTCCTGTCAAGAGACTGTGGTGGTGGACACAGAGGACTGCCAGCCCCTGTACACTGAGATACTGCAGATGTACAGGGACCTGGGGCTGACGCTGCCCTCAAGGCCACCGCTGATGTTGGTATTCCAGCAGGCGTTGAACGAGTGCGATGCTCTGGAAGGCCACCATAAGGGGTCTCAGACAAGGGGCATGACGCTTGCAGAGGAGTACAGGTGGGCTTTGTTTGTCGCAACTGAACAGCAAATCAACACAGAGAAGGGCCGCATCACCTGTGGGGTGTTCTCCTCCCTCCTACCCCTTCCCCCTTGCACCTGTGTCGAACCCAGCATTTGCACACCGATGAACACCTTTTGCTTGTCCAGATGTGCCACCGAAATTCTATGTGCCACGACCCAAAAGGGGAACTCGACTAAGCAGAAGCTCTTGCTGTCTACACGGGATCAACACAAAACCATTCCCTGCAGTGTGTTTTTTTGGCTTGTCAGTGCATCTTGCTGAAGGGTACATGTGCGCTGAAGACGCCAAGTGAGACTGCTGCTGGCACATGAAGACGTCTGCCAACTTATCACCAAGCGCACTTTTGCGCGCTGCACCCACACTCATGTCTTCAATCGAAATGGCCTTTCGTTGACACCGAATCTGCTCCTTTCGCGCTGAAGGTCTATCCGAACTGTCAAGCGGAGCTCAGGGTGGGCGGTGCGGTCGGAAATGGTCCCTGTGGAGCGTCGCCACTGCAGTGTCACCGCCATCCTGGTGCTTTACGGCCTTCCGCGGCTGCTGATAGGATCCATCCTCGCCCACGAGGTGATGCATGCCTATCTGAAGCTCAACAGAATTACCCGACTGAGCCAGGATGTGGAGGAGGGGCTGTGCCAGCTGATGGCACTCATTTGGCTAGAAAGGCAAGACCCACAGGTACGTTGTTGTTGCCGCGCAGATTCGTATTGACTGTCATAACTGGACAATGTAATCACAACTGCCTGCTGTCAATGCTGCTATATCTGTTTCATGTGACAGAAATTACCATATTTATTCACAGCCTCGATCCACATCCTCTCAGTGTCTGCCTGAAACCCACAGCAGGCGCGTGCTGCATGCCCCCATGACGTCCTCCTGGTACATCGTGGTCCTGCCTGTTTCGGTTGCAAGATATGCATTGCATTGGGAGCACGGCCACCACTCCCATCCTGTCAGCGGCGATGTGGTCTAATGTCAACTTCTGATGGTGCAAGCCAGTGCAATGACCCCAAGGATCGATGGTGTGATGGTTTATTTCCTCTGCCCATCTTCCCATAAGAAACCTAACATGAGTAATTGGGGCTGGCAAGATACTGCGACCACCAGTCCAATAAGCTGCTGCTTCCCTGGCTTGGATCGCTTTGAAATGGACGCCCTGAAGGTTTGCCGCTTTGGTGGGAAGTTGGCAGTGTAGATGTGGCTTCGCCATGATAATGGCCAGTACATGGTGATGGCCAGCAAAAAGTTTGGCTGTTGTTGCTCTGTCCGACGAGGCCTGGCAGCGATGAGAGCCAAAGCCAAACACCTCGTTGCACAGACGCTGACACCATGTCAATGACTTCAACCGCATCCAGGACTACTACGAGAAGCGTCTCGGCAGCTTCACGGCTCACCAAATCCGAACCAACCCGACTGCAGTGTACGGGGACGGCTTTCGTGCAGCCCATGCAGCCTTTCAGTGCTATGGCCTGACGGCGGTCGTGAACCACGTGAAGGAAACGCAACAGCTTCCCGTGCCCAACGAACGCATTAAGTAGGCTGCAGGTTGTGTCGCCTGTGCGTTGAATGGCGGGCAAGCGGTCTCCCTACAGCATTGGATCATCTTTTGCTCCCCGCCTGTGCAAGATCGTTAGCGGCTGGCGGCCATCTGTGAGCGGCTGGGCTTGCATGCTAGGTGGAAATGTGCTCACAGCAGATTTTAGAGTCTCAATTAGTGACAGAGGAGCAGTGGGCCAGGAGGGACATGTGGCTCCCTGCGGTGAACTTCATCAGCAAAAGGCAACAGTCTGTGTAGGGATGCATCAGGTTGATAGTCATAATTTGTGTGTCAGTCAGAGGTGCCAAGCATTTGTGCCAGTATCATGTAGTGGCCCATAGGCTAGGCTTAAACTCACTAGCGTGCGGGAAGGAACATGTTCGCCTGAACGCCTTGTGGCCACCAACCAGTCCAAGGCACATCGAGGAAAGCGCCAACCGATGCCACCGCAGGATCCACACACAAGATCCACGAAATCTTAGCGTTGGCAGGCCGCATTTGGTGCTCAGGGGTGCGGCCCAGCGTCCCGCAAACATACTTCACCACGAAGCAGCACCCTGTTCCAGATTCCAGAGCCTGGTGAAACGCGGCATTGTTGGATTGCCTTCAAAATTGGTAAGATTACAGGGGGAGTGGCTCCCCTTCCATTGGTGGCGCATCCCCAAGCAGGCCAACGAGAGCCCAATGCCCAGTGTCGCAAGGCACAATTACTAGCAACTCAACAAGCAATGCATTGTGTGCCGTGTTTGTATGGCAGGGACAGCACGCTGCAGAGCTATCTTCCCTCCCTGGCGTCGCACCGTCCCTGATGGGGAAATGGGCCCCTTGTGCAGGTCGGATCCCCATGAAGATGAATAAATCGGACTCGATACCCGCCGCACCACCACCCCCAACCAGCCATCCCTCTTCGCGTCCGCAAAATCGCCAATCTTCCCCCTGCCCAGCCTTCTCAACCCACAAAGTCTCCCCAGTCGTCCTCTCCCCCGGCCTGTGCCCCACCTGGCGTCGCCTCGGCTCCACCACCTGCAGCCCTTCCATCCTCACCCTCATCTGGATCAGTTGGGATTACTGGCAGGCCATGGCTGCTGCCATCGCCTGTGCCATCTTTGGGCACTGCTTGCTCGGAGCCACCAGCTGGGCGCCCCACTGCGTCTTCACCATCATCGCCAAGGAGTGGTGGCGCCTCACCACGGGCGCTCAGAGGAGGCTGGGAGGTGCGGGGTCCAGGCGGAGCAGGAGGAGGGGTGATCTTAAGGGCACCCGTCCCGGAGGTGCTCACAACGGGCATGGGCCCCGCAGGCAGCTTCTCTGAGAGGCTCCCTGTGGAGACTGGGCTGGAATGCTGGTGCAGAGGTATACACAGCACGGCTTTCAGTTTAGCTACTTGAACGGCAACGCCGTGATCCATGCATCTGTGGTCATGACTAACCACGATGTTGATCCGTGACGAAAAAAATGCAAACCATCCGCAATCCATCAGCGCGTTTGGCCGTTTTACCCACTGCAATGTACTAAGGTCCAACGATTTCCTGGGATATCGATATGCCCTAAGTCTGGACTGGTGCCCATGAAGCGGCTCCCTCAAATGCAGCCTGCGTCAACAAGAATTGGATTGTTGGCACCTAATTCTGTGTGAAAATGCCACAAAGCGGCGCAGAGCAACACCCTCAAATTCGAATTTCTTTTGAGATTTGAAGTCCAGCGGTAACAATGCACCACCTTGGGAACTTGGACGTGCAACGTCTGTCCAGGCTTCAGGCTGTAGTCCTTCTTGGGTCTTTCATCCTGCACATAGTGTTGGTGCATCTTAGCAGCCTCCTTCTTGCGCTCCAAGTACTGCCTGTGTTCCGCAATGGCCGCATTGAAGTCCGAGGCGTCATTGCGCTCCCTGCCGGTCAGCCCGACCCCACAATTTCAGCAGATGCCTCCTTCCACAACACAGTCGCTGACAGAAATGGGTTGTCCCGGCAGCACGTAGATTGCAGTGCCCCTCACAAGGCTGGCAATGGTGGTGCTCGGTGCTTGAGCTGTGCAATCTGGACTCCTCCATGCACGACGCGTGGTGGGAAAGCTACCCTAACGCCACTGCCGATTGCACACTTTGAAAGATCATCACTGTAGCTGACCAGTTGGTTGACTTGTCTCAGTTGGGTTGGCTTGCATTGAGCAACGTCAATGGTGAATCGCGTCTGAGCCCCCGTCGCCGCAATCGGTTCAGCTATTAGAATAACGACCATTGCATTGATGCCAGTGCAGTTCTCACATGCATCATTTATTCATACAATATTAAAGGATAGGATAACACACCCCGACCACGCCACTGCACAGCAACATGCACACAACACACTTAACAGAATATGAAAAACGGTTGCAAAACCAATAATGTGGAAGCAACACTACACGGACCGTTTGCAGCAGTGGAGGTCAACAACATCTTCCGCTTGCATGCTTCGCAAGCAACTTGTGCCAGGAGTGCCTCTTTCACTGTCAGCCAGTAGGGATGTGGCTTAACTGTGGCTCTATACCACTCTCTGAAAGGATGTTGCGGCATGTCTCTGAACGAAACATAGGCAGCAAAGGCAGCATCTTGATGGGACAGGAACCGACCTGAAGCCGAGCCCGACAAATGCATGTCGGCCTGACGCCCTGTCCACAACCTTCAGCACGAAATATCTGGAGCTGTCAACAACTGGTTCAATGGCCTGTGGACAGCAGTGGACAAACCTAAGGCATGCTCCCACCAAGGCAGACAGAATGGTCTGCAGGTGTGGTGCAGACGCGGCTGCTCAAATGTTGCAGTAACAGCTCCAAGGATAGCCAACGTGACAGTCGAACTGAAGAGAACTGCATACCATCTGACAGTTTTTGCTGTAGCATCGACATCATAGAGTTGAAACCAATGCATGCTCATTTCAGTACTTACAGTTGAGACTTGCTTGTCATTGGGCACCGGACATTGGGCATACTCCTCACCTGCCGCCAACGGCACAAACATAGCAAGTCAGCCAGAGCAGGGCACAATTGAGCCATTGAGCAACACAGACACATTGTGGATGCAAGTGCCCATGGATTCGACAGTGAAGGTGCATGTTAGCACCTAAAGCAGTTTGACCCCGCACTGGCAGCTCTGGCAAGATGGTAGCACTTGCCAGCTTCGACCTTTGCATTTTAAGCCTGGGTCCCCTTGCACTCAAGCAAGAGGCTCGTCCACACTCCCACCTGTATCTTGGTCAAACATCACCACAGAGAGGTCATCTCCGGAACTCACAACCTTCACCACAAGAGCCTGGAAAACCACAATGCAGGCAAGATGTCAAAAACGTAAACAATGGCAACGATATGGGCGTGCATTTTCGCACACAGGAATCTGGAACGTTGGCTTGGCAATGTGCATGCTGCAATGATGTGCCAGGCAAAGACATCCACAGTGCCACACTTCAGAATGATGCTGCCAAGTATTGCTCTGAATGTTGATCAACAGCACCACTACCACAGGTGACACTGGGGGCGACTTGTCACACACACCATCAAATTGATGTGGGGGGTGCAAACCCCTGACATTAAGAAATAGCATGATCCCCCTTGTAACGACATAAAACAACAACGAGCCCAAGCAACCCTTGATTTGTCCCAAAACATCCCCTGAGCGTTCAGCCTGCAGCTCACATCCTCAGATGAAAAGGAATAAACTCACAGCCTGACATCTCCGCAGCTAATGGAGTGTCTGTTGCATTTGCAAAAAGTCGCGGTAACGAACAGTGCTGACCATGGACCTGGGTATCTTTCCCCTAAAGGCCTGGGAAACCCATCAGCGATGGGGCGCAATGTCAGCGTGCCGATCCAAACCAAAAATATGATTTGACTGACATTTGATATCAAGATTGACAATATGGAGGGAACGGGGTGTTGAGGGGGGGAATAGCATCAATTTCACAATCAGTACGACAAAATCGCCCTCATGTCACCACTTGTCAATCAAGCACAGCGACCCCTGTGCTGCACACAACTCCTGCGCCCCTTCCCAGGGCTGGAGCACATATGCAACTGTATTGCCATATCAGGGTGTTGGTGCCCTTTGTCTTTCCTTCTATTCTCTTGATTTCCGGCAGAAACTTTGGCCACATTTAGGAGATGAGCTTTCAGGTGAGGATCTTGAACATTCGCTGTAACTAGGAGAGTTATCGCGAGTGGGCGCTGAACCTCCATATGGTATGATCGAAATCAACAACGTCCGTGCACACAGGAGCAAGCACAACACTTGCTTGGCATGGTGCACGCAACGGTGGATACAGTATTTCCGCGGTAGCGGGCACCACGGCCACCCTGCAAAGCGTGCAAGAACAGTAGCGACAGGCGCGGGTGGAGCATGCGAGCTCTCGAGCCTGCAACTTCGGCATGGCACGATGCACCCTGCGGATTTCTTTTCCAGACTGACACACAATTGGACTTGGACTGGAGACCGCACCAAGCACACCCCTCACGCGCAGCTTTACGGCCAGCATCAGTATTATGCCTGTTTGGTCCAACTGCCAGACGCCCCAGAACCCCTCCTCTTCCGCGAGTGGGGGCCGCAATTCCGCATCTTCCAGTTTTGTATGCAATTGATCGGATGCCGTGACCCCCCAGTGCAGCCGTTACAGAAGAACAAGGAAGCAAGCACTCGCAGGAATCGCGCACCAGGAGCAGCTTCGATGACTCTGCGTGGCACTGCACATTGCGCACAGCCCACAGATGGCCGAGTGCAACACAAATCAGGCAGACTCTCTCGTGCTGCCACGGCTCAGACGGCCGAATCACGCCCGTGATCCTGACCGCTAATATCTGCACGTCAGCGCAAAGCCCCAATATCGGCGGGTCCCGCACGAGCGCGCATGCGCAGCACGGCGCGTGGCACGTCCCTGTAGCTTCGCATCGACACCCACAGTGACGGCCAATTTCCTACGGCATGTTTCACACAGCTGCTGAAAGGGCGCAATTCTCCCCTCCCCCTTATCGCGTGGCTTCCCAGTCGCAAATCTGCGCCCTCTCGCGCCACTCGCCTTGACCCAATCGTCGACGCCCCACAGCTCCGCGCGGTGGCCGATGGTGGGCGCCGGCGGGATCGGCGCGTAGAAATACGCCTCGCGGCAGCAGTACAGCACCAGCTCGGGCCTGCGCTCCTCGTCCGGCGCCATGCCTGCCACCGCCAGGCGCCCAGAATGCGAAGGGGGCTGCCCCCCGACGTTCATGACCCCATCGACGGCCTCGGACCCCCGGGCCCGATTGGCGTGCGTCAGAAAATCCCCAACAAGTCCGAAAAAACTCCCAAAAATCCCACGAACGCCCAAAATTTGTCCTAAAAAGTTGGGCGGCCTGCTGGGGCGCGTGTCCTCTCTGGGCGACCTGCGGCGAGAGCGGCGACGCCGGTTGCGCCTGAGGGGCGACGCGCCGCCGAAGCCATGGCGGAGCCCTCAAAGTTCTCTCAGCTGTCCGCGACCACGCAAATGGTGACGATCATAATAGGTGAAAGACTCTCCAGGGCTGGCCTCTCCCCGTTTCCGCACTCCTTCCTGCGCCTGGCCTTGGGCACGCCGCCCATCTTCGCCCGCCCCGCTGATGACTGTGCGGCGACAGCGGCGATCTCGGCACTGATGAATGACTGGCTTGCTGCGCCAGGCTCGTCCGCCGTGGCCATTGTGGTGCTCATTTGCCTGGCGATCGTCAGGAGGCTGCTGAGCTGGCTCTGCTCGTGCACCGGGGCCTGGCTGCCCCAGGGTCGCTCGTCTGGGGATGCGTAAGTGCTCCCGGTGCTCCAGTGCCGCTTGGCGCGGGAACATCGATCTCAAAATATCCATGGAAGCGGCCAACGCCCCCGCGCGTGAGCTTCGTCTGCCTGTGGCGCGGGCTGACCGCTTGTTCTTGGCCGCCGCCAGGGGGGAGCCGCTGCTACAGGAGGACGCGGAGGTGGATCGCCCCCGGCCTTCCGCTTCTGAGAGCCAATCGCACGCGCCCAGGAAGAACCTGAAGGCCTTGGTGAAGGAGTCGCAGAGGGCGGCCAAGGCCAAAAAGCAGTGAGTAGGGTGGCCGGATGCCTGCGACCTGGCCGTTCGTTTTGTTGGTGACCACAGCTGGATGACTCCTCATTTGAGGGAGTGGAGGCCCATGTGGGGCTGGCAAGTTTCAGATCCGCTCTTTGAGAAATAGTAAGCACCTATGCTGAGTTGTGCGCACAGAGTGGAACCGAAGACCCTGTTGGACATGGTCATCAGCCTTTCTGCTTCAGGTTGCTTGATCGATTTGCTACGTTCTGGCGATGACAACAGCAGCAATAAACGCTTGTTCTCTGCAGTCAATGGGGTCACCTCCACCATTGGCTGGGATCTTGTCACGCCCAGCCTTTTCTGCCCGTTCTTGCAATTGCAGTCCCCATCTGTCAAATCCCATACTGCAGTCATTTTCTTCCTGTACATATGGCAGTCTGCTTTGTCACCATCACAATTGCACTGCTGGGGGCAACATGTGGATCTGCCAGTGAATTATAGTATGGAATGTCACGGTTGCTGGCATGAGCAAGGTGGTGATCGACACCAAACACCACTGTGGAGCAATCGATTGTATACAACTCAGGCCGTAAGACAGGGTCAGGTATATTAGTGATCAACAAGGACCCCACAATGCTGAGCAAAGTGGTGCCTCAGCACCACTTCCAAGGACTGCAGAAACAATAGTTGTGGATGTAAACAGCACTAGGCAATGGCCTGACAGGTTCCAGGGCTGTGTTTGTCACCTCTTGACAAGTGCAGCAGGTGCAGATTTGTACAAGGGATAAAGGACCATTACAGCTGATAAACTGCAATTGCTTGGTGGTGCAGGTCTGCTACCGACCCTGCTCAGAAGCACCCACTGTTTCTGCACACTCTCAGGGTATACTTGTGGCTCTGGTTGGGTAAGGGGTCACCGTGGACAAGGGGCGTTGTGAGATGTATGACAACCATGTGTTGATAGCAAACCCATTCTCTGCATTTCGTAGGGTGGAAACAATGTGCTACCTGTTGAGAACGCTGTTAGCATACCCCTCTGCCCAACAATGCAACCATGCAAAAGCATTTGGGCACACTAGTATGTGAGGTACGAGCACAGTGAGCAGGGTGCGTCATTGACAGTGTTGCTGTGTGGGCAATAGGACACATATAGAGTGCTTGGGTGTTCCCTGTCAGCTGGACAAAAGACCAAAAAGACAGCAGCCTGGACTTGTGCAGCCCACATTCCACTGCTTCAGGGACGCTGCCTGAAGCAGACACTGTTTCCAAGCTGCCCACTTGAGTTAGCCCAAAGGGTGTGAATGTATGGAGATGCATAGATTGCAACAGCTCAAAACAAGTTGCACATCTCAGCATGCTGTATGGTGCTTATGGGTGGGGGCCCAAAGGTGCAGACTACAGGGCAAAAAGCCCACAGTCAACACAGTATGCTTGTTGTGTGCAAAGGCTATATGGAATGGCTGAACCAGATGGAATGGCTGAACCAGATGGAATGGCTCAACCAGATGGTTTGGCATCATGGCCAGACACTTGTGGAGCTTTTCATTGTTGGAAGTTTGGCCTCGCCTTGCTGCAGGAGAAAGATTCTCTGTCTGGAGTAGCTTGGAGCCCCAATGGCACTGCGCTGTGCACAGCATGCGATGACCGGGTCGTTCGTAGATACACATTAAAGGGCCCTGAGGTGGAGGCAGGAATGACAGTGCAGCAAATTCGGATGGTGACAACACCAGTGGATGTGGCGTTTGGAAGGGATGCCACACAGATTGTGGTCATTGCAAAAGGTAGCATCACCTTCCACAAGACATGTGCACATGCAAACTCAACTGCATTGGCTGTGCTTAGTTGTCTGTTTTTTTTTTTGCTGGCCTGCACCCCGATTTCCCCAATGTGTTGCTCAGCTGCGTAATGGTCACATAAAAATGGACTTGCCAGCAGGCATCTGCTGTTGCCACGGAATTCGCAAGTGCTGTTTCATCACACCACCTGCTTGCATTTCTTCTTTTTCATTCTGCCACCAACACTTGGCAGCCCTGCAAGTGGGGGTTAGGTCTTTCTGGCTTTGGCAGTGTTCCAAGATCTTTAGTAATTGCAATCCTGGTGGTCATGCATAGGGTTGGTGTTTGGTATGGCAGGTAGTCATCTTGCCCTGCCCTTCAGAAGAACTGTCCCTCAGGTTTCCAACAGTGCTGACTAGGGGTTGGGGGGCTGATGCAGGCCTGCTGGACCGTGCAAGTGTATCTCTGTACACCTTGGAGCAAGGCAAAGCCAAGGCAGAGGAGGAATGGAAGGTGCTGAAGAGTACTCTGCTTACAACAAACACTGCACATTCTAGGATGTTTGTGTAGCACAATTGTTGTGAGTGCCAGTCGCTATGCGCCCAAGAGTGCCTGGTGCTTCTTGTTTTTCAGTCGATTATTCGCGAATTGGTGACAGGCTCATGGGGGCCCAGTTCAGACCACATGTTGTGCCAATTATTGAAGATAATTTTGGGAATTGGCTGAAAGGTCGACTCTGACCTCTACTGCCAGAAGATCTTCACATTCCAAGGGTGCATGCAACTGGTATGTTCGTAGCTGCAGGAAGCAAGCTGTTCTGTGGGCAGTGAAGCTAGCATTAGAACGTTTGTGAGCCTGGCTGCCCCATTGCTGACTATGGTTGAGTGTCTGCACAGTTGGATGAAATATTCAGGAATGAACCTGCGCTGCGAATGGTTTCGGCGGTTTCCTCCACGGGATCCCGTGCACTGATTCTCTGCTGCTCAGAGAAGAAAGAAGCAAAGTTGATATCAGATAAGGTGGGTGGGCGCATTGTTATGCCAAAGTGGTGGCGCTGCTGCTCCAGTCGTGTACAATAGTCTGTTGTGAGTTGTGATTGTCTCAACAGTTGCCACGTGCATTTATTTGTTAGCGAAAATCCGAGCACCGATCATTCAGGGAAGTGCAACCTTAGCAAGCGCAGGTGTGATTGATGGTTTGTTGCTGGCAGTGCAAGGATCGCATTCCATATGGTGGTGGCTTTTGTTGTCGGCGTACAGACAGGACTGTATGAGTTGCCCAGTGGATGGCGGTGGGGCTTGTTTGTATGTCCAGCGGACTTCCAGCCTGTGTGCTGATCCGTTTAACTGTTGATGATGTTGCATGTTTTGCATTACACTCATCCATCCTACCAAGGGAATATGCAAACTTTATGCCACAAGCAGTGTCTGCGAGTTGTATTGTCCCCCCTATTTCTACTGCACTCACATCGGCCATCCACCACTGGGAATGCGAAACGTTGCATCCCTAGCATGCCCACCACAACAACAAGATGGGGAATCACACAGCCCACTGACGTTTGGCCCACTGGCGCATCCTATAAAGGCAACACCAAGCAAAACTCTACCCAAAGGATGCTCCATGTGTTTTTCGTCTATTATCATTGTTGCCTCAGTAACTGGTGTGTCAGCAAATCAAATATTTGTCCTGATCGTCGTTCCGGCCATGCAGTGGATACTCCATCCGCACATCAGTTGCACCAGTTGTATCTGCCCACTAGAACCATCACTGAAGCTCCTCAGAAAGACAATGTGTCGATGATACTGTATGTGAGACAATGCATGATTGGCCTTGTTGCTTTCGCAGGGAGACGTTCTGTCTGTGATCGAGCCAAATTCGTTTCGGAACCATGATGTCACCTTGTCTGGCGATGGTCGATTTCTCTCTGTGGCATCCTTCACTGCAGATGCCAAAGTGTGGGAGGTTCAGTTTTCCAGGGACGGCACTTTCAAGGGCACGCCCAAAGTCATGGACCTCAAGGGCCACAAGGGCCAGGTCACAGCTGTGGCCATCTCACAGGTGGGGGCTCAGGCATAGATGGGTCATTTTGTTTTGTGCTTCCCAGCCTGCATTAAGAATCCCTGGGTCACGTTCCTGCTGTCTGCTTATGGACACCGTAACCGAGTTTTGGAATGGAAACAGCAGTGTCCCAAGTTGGGAACCATAAAGAAAGCAGGAAAGGGCCCAGGGAAAGCCGCAGGCTGCAGTGATGGATGGTTCGTTGTGTGGCTGGGATGTGCAACTAGTTGCATTGTGTCTGTTGGCTTGTGGGACTGCACTTTGGTTTGCATGAAAGGGAAGCTACAATTGTGTCCCACAATGCAGTTTTGGGTTTGCGAGACGGACCAAATACTGGACAGTACAGGACTATGCAATGGGCTCAGAAGTTTCATCTGTTGAAACGAAGGCTCAGCAAGGATTTTTGTTAGGGGAACGAGGTGCAGAATTCCCCACCACAATATCACATTCAGAGCTTCACCAACTGTGCGAATTTGAATAATGTAGCGCAGCAGCCACAGGACACATCCGTGCATGTTTGGCAGCCTACCTAGTGCAATGTCCAAATGCCATCCACAATGTCATGCTGGGGTGGTAAGCCAGTGGTGCAGTGCAGGTTGATCATTTGAGCTTCAGCTTTCACGCATGTCGAAATCGAAAAGGCCATCACACCTCCAGTGCAGCTCTGACGTACATCGGCAGTGTGATTGTGCTGACACGTTGGATTTGTTTGCTATTCATCTCCTCTTTTCATTTTCTTGTTTGTTTGCTGTGACATGAATAGGACTCAAGGAAGGCTGCAACGGCATCCAAGGATGGCCATCTGAAGATTTGGAACTTGGATGTGCGGCATCATCAGAAGGAAGACGCCAAATGCCTCCTGACGGTGAGCCCCAGCCGATCATCGTGACAGATTTTCTTTGCTTTTGCTTGCTTGCCCTGGCACAGCTGGTAGGTCCGTTACATTGACGTACTGGGAACGCAGCTGCAAAGAACACTGTGGTAGTGCAGAGTTCCTACCGTGGTTGACACTTTGCCATAACCAAGCCAACTGTTTTGCGAGTATGTCGTTGCCATGGTAATCAGCAGACATGTCGCGACTGCAAGGACTCAGGTGCCCCATTGGGGAATGGACGACTTCTTAGTCCGTTTGGAGTGGATTGATTGTGGGAAAGGATGGGAAGGTTGTCATTCACCAAGCAGGAGAGGCACTGCAAACCAGATCATTGTTATCAGCTCAAGGCATCTAAGATGTTCTGTGCTAAATCCATGTGGTGCATGACCGAGCGGAATAAAGGAGATGCCAGATATGTGATTCGGAGCTCCAGGGACCTGGTGCAGCTTGCGCTTAGTGCAACACAATTGTCCGCTCTGGAGCACACCACACCTTTGACAATTTGTCGGTGGATCAATTGTGCATTGTACCATTAAGGCCTAGTGTGCTTGCCCACCCACAGACTGCACAAGAGGTGCCGAAAGGCCAGTGTTATGGTCGACTTGTTTTCGGCCCGAGGGAAGCACTCGCGGCTGCGTGGGGCTCACATGTGCACCTCATCGACACCTCGACAGGGAGAGTGGCAACGACGATCGACGACGCCCATGATGGTCCCATCACCAGCCTGGCATGGGCTCCCACTCTCCTGCAAACAAAGAGCGGGGAAGTGGCCGTGCTGGCCACGGCAGGGGAAGATGGGCGTGTGCGCCTTTGGAAGGCGCCCCAATGACAGCTGTCCTCTACATGCGGCTTGAGCGAACGATGGGGTTGGTTAACAGATGCATTCGTGAGCGAATTCTGTGCGTTCTAGCTCAAAGCTCGGTGCCCGTTGGGCCGGGAAATAACTCTTCTTCTGCTAATTTTTGGCTTCGGCACATCTTCTGCATGTGGTCTGCTCACATGTTCGTTGACCAGTAGCCTTGTTTGTGAATTGGGCAGAGGAGAGGTGGGCTGTCTTGCTGTTGAGCGGGGTGTTGACATAGGTCATGAGGGATTCGAGTGCCGGGTGGGGATGGAGGGTGACGGTCGAGTCGACTAGCAAACGCGGCGATCAAAGTCTGAACTTAGAATGCGAATTGAAAGTCGGGAGCCTATTCTAGGGCCTCCTTGAGGTTTTCTGTCGACTTCCCATTTCGTGTGTGCTGCCCCTGACGACTACATGGCATCTTACCTCAGGGATCACACAGCGTCAAATTGATGCTGAGCTCAGATCCCCCAACCGCCCCAGCGCCAGTCATATTCCCGATGCTGGTGTGACGTAGCAACATCATCTATCAGCGTGACGTGACGTCATGAAGTCTTCGAGGAAGGCGTAGAATCAGAGTTGCACCGATGAGGGAGTTGAAAGATAGAGACCTTGACGCGATGGAGGCAGCCCTGGAGGCATTCGACGGAGGCATATTGGGCCCTCCTTGAACATCGAACGCTTGACGTAGGTTGGTGAACAAGCCAGGACTTGTTTGCTGCTGAGCAGCAGTGGTTGGGGCCTCTTCTTAGCTCAGGTCGATCTTGTGGCAATGAACTAATTATGAGCGTCCGCGGCCTGGACTCGTTTCCAGATATGGACGTCATGGAGGGTACTAGGCCCTTAACGCCAAACCCTAAGAACCTCTACATGTGTGGTTACAGAATCGTGGGACGCCCAACGTGGGCACCCGTGGGAGTACCATTGAAATGCACCAACGTGGGGCGTGCCAAGCCTGAGTGCATTTCAACGGGCCTCCTGCGGATGCCTGCGTGGGCCGTCACACGTGGGCAGGCGCTGGGGAGGCCGTGGGAAGCTGTTGGCTCACGTCGGCCCACGTGGGACAGATTCTGCAACCCGGGCATTATATAATGTTGTGTATATAACCCCGGTCACACATTACATAGGTTATGCAACAGGTTACACCCTTGGTTATAAACCTAGATGCACAGCTGAAAATGGCCTTCATGTCTGGAAATGAAGCTACCAGACATTTGTGCTGGAAGCCAAGAGTACCAAGCGATGCAGTGTGGTCCCCTACCAACAAGCAACACAACATGACGTCACTCCTTCCGAGATTTGGATGCCTCATTCCGGGAGACCAGAGTGCTATTCAAAATGTGACATTTCCTAGGCGCAGAGCGTCTTTATCCAACGCTAAGGTGGGCGCAATAGCCAGACGCCTTGCCTTTGGTGTCACCATATGTTGCAGTAGCCTCCATTTCGAGCATGTCGCACATGATGGACCATGTGGGCCCGAAATCGGTGAGCACATTTCGTAATATGATAACGAGGGTACTCCAGCCCCAAGGCAACAGGAGGACCCTTGCAAGTTTGTGTGCGTTCTGTGGGCGGAGCGGCTTGGCCAAATGGCCGCCGAATATTGCTGCCCGGCAATTTCCATGCTCGTTAGGACACCTCAGAAACGTGCAGAGATTTTTGAGAATCGACTCCCAACAAAACGTGGTGTGCAGCAAGTTGTTGCCCATCAGGATACCCTGTCTTTGGTGCCACACAGTACAGAGCCATTCTTTGCCCACATCAGGCCAGTGGTGGACCACACAACGGAACATTTGGAAAACACTGCTAGCATCCCAAAACCGTGATCCAATTCAGGGGAGCTCTGGAATGTCTGGCCCCTGGCCTTCCCGTCTCAAAGCAGCACCAATCCATATTGGCACAACTGTGAGCGCACGTTTTTCTAGTGTTACCTAGAAATGTCGATAAAAGAAGTTGTGTCCAATCTGCGTTTCCTTCCACTCCATGGCGAGTAAGGCACAAACTATTCCAGCAATCACCTCAGCTTTTGGAATGCTGATAGTGGCGCTATGCCCTGTGCTCTCCATTCCTGTAGATGCCAGCTCCAGACATGGACCGCATCAAGTGCAAAACAGGAGTGTGTTGCATGTGCCACATGCCAAACAATATCCAGCAGCATACATGTGGATCCAGCGGCATATGTGCTGAACGCACTGATTGCCCTCTTGGCCGAGCCGTGTCCGTGGGGTAGGGATATGCCTTCAAAATAAGCTCTCGCCAGTGTCTTCCAGCTACCCGTCCCAACCCTCCCCTTTGTTGTTGTCGTTGTAGGGTGGGGCGGGGTGCGGTGGTGTGGTGGCGGTGGTAGTGGTGGTGGGGTGGGGTGGGGGGTAGGGACTGCCCTGGTAGTGAAACGATGCCTTGGCCCCCAGCCGTCTCCAGACTAAAACACTCCACAGTGGATGACGGCCATTATCCGAATCATGGCAGCTACAAGAGCACCCGTCGCGACACAATCGGGCTCACGCTTGCCCACGCTCAAGGGCTTGGGACTGTCTTTCATCGAATCGCTAGGTCGCTGGTCCTGGCTCTGCCGAGAATCTCCACTGCTACCATTCTTGGGCGAGTTTGATTGTTCCTAATTTTGGGGCGGCACCTGGGCAGATGTGAGTCGTGGGGACGAAAGGAGTCTCTCCTTGTTCGACAAGGGATAAACCTGCAAGCATGGCCAGACATGCAGTATTTGAATGTGCAATATGTCCCGGAAATGGCAACCCAAGAATACTGCAACAGTGCACATTCCTTATCTACCCGCGCATCCTCAAATCTGAGCCAACACTGTTGTGGCCAATGGACTATGGGACCACTGGTGTGATGTGACCAATGGACCCTGTTCCGTGTGCTTTGTCAGCATTACAGCCCTGATGTCAGCAACTATGAAGAACATTCCTTTCGGGAGATGAGCAAGGCATGTGCATTGTTTCAAGCTTACTAAACATGACGAAATGGTGTTCAAGTCGTGACACCAACCTCGCCAGCGGGAAAACCCTACGGTGCAACGCTACCTTCCGTCGGTGGAAATAAACACAATTTGCTGCTTTCACGATGAACGTCTGATCAGCATTGACTTGTTGAGTGCCATGTCCTCCAAGCAAACCGCACCTCTTGTGTAGGCTCCGTCACAGTGACGCTCCCCAGGAATTCAGTCACTTTCACACGGTTCAAGGGACGCGAAAACAAGGCTGACTGGTACGTAAAGGTAGATCTCAGAAGGTCCTGCCTGCCCCAACAAGACAAATCCGTAATTCGAAAGCAAACGCATTCCGTTCACTGCACAAAAGCACTTGAAAACAAAAACAAAAACTTAACACAAAAACTTGAAAAATGCACCGATATTGCAAAACAACTCCAGTTTGCTAAGTGCCTCAGCTGTTGAAAGGTTCAGAGCGACAAATACCATTGACTTGGTGGCACTACATTCTCAGTGCATTTACACACCTCCCAAATTCTGGTTTTTCAAGGATACCGAACTTCAGTCCCACAAGAACGGACAAGCTTATTTATGGTTGAGTCTACAACTCCAGTCAAGGGCCATCACATCTGACTTTAGACAGCAGAGCTCCTGAGGCAGGCAGGGCTTGAATTCTCAATGAACAGGACATCAGGAACCATTCCTTGGTTTATTGCCTGTATTATTACCTGTATATGCCGAACAGGTTCTGCAGCGTGACACTACTGCGCATGTCTACTTGCTCCAGGAACTCAAGTGTGTGGTAGGTGAACCGGTCAATCACAGACACCCCAACATCCCTATCATTGTGATGGGAGTAGGAGCTCTCATCTGCCATGCAGCACACCACTCTTTCAATGTTTCATCACATCGCAGGTTTGGTATCTCTGCAGGAGCGACTTTTGGCTTCTTGTCAACACAGGTTCGCCCCACACATTTGAAATATTGCTGTTTGCGCCTTCACCGCTGGGTGGAAAGGTACAAAGTAGTGTCATGGAAGTGTGCAGCAAGTTGTTCACTCAGATGTGCAAATGCCCAATTCGCCACGGCAGACTGTACTTCCAGAAAGGTCAGATCCAGCAATCCCGGAAACAAAGCTTGGGCAGCACTGAAAAAAGACGATCCAAGGGGGTACCGATCCTTTCGACCAAGTGGTATCAAGTGCTTTGAAGTCACAGAGTGAATCCAATAAGGCAAGATACTCATACTTCTATGACACCCAAACAAGGCATCCAATGAGCATCCAATGGCCAACATAGTGCAGCCATTTGGGGTCTCGCACGGCACAGTCTTGAGACTGTAGAGTGTTATGTTAGGAAATGGATGCAATTCCTGGGTTTGCCAAGCCCCAAATTCTCAATATGCACTAAACAACTTTCCCACTAATTAGGAACACCCATGAAGGTCTTATTGGGAGATGGTACAGAGTGACTGCATGCTGCCCAATGTGTTGTGCACCTTTCTTGCTGCTTGCCATCGTCAGTATGTTCGGAGAATCAAATCGTGAGAATAGGGTGCTCGCCTGGCACGTGTCTGCGATGAACAGCATCTCCCTGTACCGCCCCTTTTCATGCATCTGGGCAACTGCATCAGCCAGGTCTTGCGCCATCAATTCCTCATTGTCCTGGAACTTCAAGAACTCGTTGCCCCCATGGCCAGTGATGTAAACCTGCCAATGAGACCCTGACTGTTTCACTGTGAGTTCACTTATGTGGTATAAGCCGAACAACAGCAACAGCTGCTTTCCACCCACAGATCTAGCCAGTCTGGCACGATTGGTAGCATGTCACCACATGAGAGTGTTTAAGCGCATTACCTCCATTCACCCGAAGTCGACAACATTGGCAACTGACTGCCAAAGTGATATGTGGCAGAACGTGCATCCCTCAGTGTCAACTACAAGCTGTCATTGGATTCGTCACTGGTTCAGGTCGGCCAACAGGGCGTCTTCAAGAATGCTGGCTGACAGCAGTGCTGCCTGATCATCTCATCAGCATACGCTTCACTGACATAACTCTGGGCACTCCATTCGGAAGCAGGAAAACTTGCCATAGGGCATACTATTATCTTTGAACAGCAGTGTACATTCCCAGACAAATGAAAAAGGTGGTGCATTGTCATGTGTCTGACAATGGTTTCAACAAGCATTTGCCTACCAGCACGTTGCTTCCCTGGTCGGAAAGGAGCCTCTTGGACCTTGGCACAGCTGGGTCATGACGCCCTGTGCAGTAACAGCACCCAGAAGTGCAAGTTACAACTGGTGGCCTGGTGTTTAGTGCCAAACTGGTGGCTGGCGCATCCTGAGCTGTGGCCTGGCAATGCTGGTTGCATGGCACCAAACTCTCTCATTTGTTAAAATTGCATTTGTGCCACTGCCCACAAACAGCAATACTGTGAGCAAAGGCTTTTGAGAAGCCCATGCACTAACTTGTTCTCGCAGCTCCATTTAGGAATGAGAAAGCTCCAGATCATGAGCCTGAGATTCTTCGACTTTGTACGGAAAGAATCCATTGTGGAGAACTGTGAAGCTTCAGTGGCATGGGACACTGGCAGAATGAAACATGGTGTTCAGCCTTCACAACGTGTGATTCATAGCAGCAGCGGTACCATTCAGGGCCTTGTTATATCGCCACGTGCAGTATTGGGAGAGGACAAAAGGATCCACTTATCTTCCGGAAGGACGAGCACGCGTCTGTGGCGTTGCAGTGTTAGGCCCAATTTGGGAAACAGAAATCATCGACCCACCAGATCTGGATCTGTCACTGTACGAGGAACGAGCAGACTTGTGTTGGATGCTGATACCGCCTTCCAGGCGCCAGGTCCCTGTTTGCCAATGTCCTCCGGACAGCCCAACCACCCACCAGTGAGCACCCTCATGAAGTTCTCCACCGTCACTTCGTAGCCGCGGTAGTCCACCTCCACGGAGTCACCGTACAGGTCCACGCTGTGGTCCGCATTGTTGAAGACTCTCCCCGGGTGGCCGTTGCGCGCGTCGCACGCCAGGTCGTCCCCCAGCATCAGGATTATGTTGCTGTCGGGCACGCCCAGCCGCCTCACGGTGCGGTACATCGACAGGGTGTTGGCCGCGTGCCTGTAGTTGAACCAATACCTCGAGGCGTCCACCAGCACCGCCCAGTTGCTGGTGTGGCTCATGCTGGCGCACAGGGACGGCCGCGGCGCGCCAAGCAGCAGCATGAGCACGCCCAACCACCGGGCGATCCCAGGCATGGTGATGCGATGCACTGATCACGCCATGACTCGCGCTTTGAAGACTGCTGGGCGAGGTTGTGTCGCAGTGCCAGCGGATGGCAGCCTCCGCGGCCACCGAGCACAGAGGAGCCCGTTGGGAACTCTCGACCGCCGAAGGTACAGCGGGCGGACGTCATCAGCTCATTCCTTAGGGGCCGATTCGCTGCCCTCTAATCCTGCGGAATCTGGGGGTTACATCAGAGTGACAGGGTCAGTATCGGCCACCTCGCACCTCCGCTCCGTGGGGGCCGGTCTGGAGGCCAAATGTTGGCTGGTCAGCCACCCAGGCAGCCATCCAGCACCTGAGCTGTGTCCCGCCCACCCTTCTCGGCATAGGTGACACGCCCGCAGTTGCTCCGGCCCTCAGGCGCGACCAAGAGCCCGAGCTCCCTGCTGGAGGCGGCGCGCGACGAGCAACGGCCCTTGCAGCCCCCGCGGGCCCTGCCCGCTGCTGTGGCTGCCCTTCCGCGCTGTCTACTTTCCAGAGGCTAGGCTCCATGGTGGGCCAGTAGGCACGGATTGTTGGGTGATTCTGTTTTGGATGTTTCTAGCTGGTTCGTTTGGATGTCCATTGTTGGGGCGGGATTGCGACTTCCAGGGGAGAGTGTGTCGCTGCAAGCGGCCTTGCAATGAAAGGGGGGTGTTGGGTTCGGGCCGAAACCAGGTTGTCGAGGTGCAATGGCAGCAAATTGGCGGGACACCGCTCGCTGATTGTTCCAGCTAGGGTTGTCGGCTCGCTGATTGTTCCAGCTAGGGTTGTCGGCTCGCTGATTGTTCCAGCTAGGGTTGTCGGCTCCCGGAATTCCAAAGTGTGAAATCCTATTGTCACGCTTTGCAAAGGGGACCATGGCAAAGCACCGCCCTTGCACGTTGAAAGCGACGGCGGGCTTAGCTCTAAGCTCCATGCACAAAGTTTGTTCGCAGCGCAATGTTCGTTCATTTCCGCAAAAGGATGGCGCTGGACGTTTCGGTTGGCGTATTAGTCCCAAACTGGGGGCAAGGGGCTGGCGCTGTATCGCAGAGGGTACAAACAAATTTGGTGTGGTCTCCTTGGGGCCTAGAAGTTCAACCTTTTTACGGCATGTCCCCGATGGCCTTGTTCTCTTGCAAGCCCTGTTGGAACCGATGCCAGACTTCGTTTCCTTCATCATGGACGTGTCCACTTCGTGCACCTTCATCTTTGTTCCAAAGCCCTTACTTTCATTACAACAGTGAGAAGCTGTCATTGTCATCTTGTTTCCTTTCCTTCCGTTCAGCACGAAACTGCAAGCAGAGTAAGCTCGTGCCGCCTGTGCACAGTGCCACCTGGCTTGGATATCATCTTTTATGGGCAGTCGTGCTTCGCTTGTGCCTTAAAATCTCACTGCTGTGCTGCAACAGGAGCAGGTTCAGCAGCCTCTGGAAGTTGCAGAAGCCATGACAACATCTGGGGAGACTCCTGCCCAGGGTTTGATCAATTCCACCAGCTGCATGGTAGCTGCACCAGTGGAAGAACCCTCAGGCATGCACACCACGGGTGAGATTCTTGGCCATGCTTGTCTGTCCTTGCCCAGTGTGTGGCCAAACGACGATTTTTGTCTCTTCAAGGCATGGCATGTGCCTTGTTCGTTGTATTTTGAATTATAAAACGTCATCAGATGATGTCTGAAGTGCGCTGTGGACGTGCATTTCCTTGCAAGCACTCTACTTAGATGATAATTGTCAGGTCTCCTATATGTGCACAAACATCATTGCACACAACTCCTGGCATCCCTGAATTCCATTATTGGTGGCTGGATACGATGTGTCAACATCAATGACTGAAATGAAACAAATGAAATACTTCCTCAGTCCCAAAATGACTGGTGGCTCAAATACCAGCAAACCCATTGTTAAACTCTGTTTGAACGTACAGAATAGCATCAAAACGTAAAGACCAGGTGCCAAACTTTTAGGAACATCCCCTCATCTACCATGGAAATGTCAGGTTGTTTCATCATGCCCCAAATGCGGGTTGCATCAGTCCCCAATTGGCACCTGACAGCATCCACCGATACGACCTCTCCCTTGTTATGCTCTTGCTCCTTGCCAACTTGGGGCAACTGGAAGTTGTTGCTGCCTTCTTACTGGTGGCAGCCCTTACTTCTCCAATTTGTAGCAGTGGCTGCCAGTTGCCCTTGTGACTTGCACAATATTTCACTTGACATTCCCGTGTCTAAGGGGTCATATCTCCCTCAGTACTTAGCCGACTGATCTAAAAGCTTGGTGGGTCAAGATGATACAAATTTCAATGTGATCAAATTTATGTACTATTTGTAAAGATGTGGACCAGTTAAAAAACTTAAGGCCGGTTGATTACACAAGATAGATGATTATCTTGGATTGTTAGCCATCAGCGGTCAAGATTAAGAATTTGAGACGTTCACTATAAAGTTCATTTGAAATGAAGCTATGAAGAAACTCACTGCCATATTCACTAAGGAGGTCAATGTGAAGTTCACCAAGAAATGATGTTACACAGGAGTTCATTTGGCTATTCACTGCGAAATTCACTTCGATGTTCATTGGGAAGGGGTTGGGTGTGGGGTTTTCCTTGGCCTATATAAGTGGGCACCCCAAGGCTAATTGTCTTAGTTACCAGTGCTGGTCCTCATTTGGACTAGACTGAAGGGTCCAGCACTGTTGTAACAAGATCTTTGGACTCTATCTGACTCCTTGCAGTCGCGATCGATCGCAGTTCTCCACATATTGGAGATGCATTGATGGGCTTTCCCAAAGCTGCAAATCGTAACTGTTGTTCGTTTTGGGATGCAGGAGGTATGCAGGAAAGTCAAACTATTTCTGATTTGCTACAGTGTGTGATTTGCCAGCCCTCACCTTATGACAAACTCCTCTTCATCGAGATTGTTCATTCCTTTTCATACAATCCATTGCATGTGCTTTACATTGCCTTGCATTTTCTTGTTGGGAGACAGCAAGGCCCACATTTCTTTAGTTGGGAACGGGGTGGCACTTGGAGGCTCAGAATCTGAGCCTCCAAATCTGAGCCTAGACTTGCTGTCAAGATGCAGTTGAAGGAATTGCACAGCATGCTGTGTAGCCCTGGCTCTGGTTCCCATTGCCCAATACCTGGCTTGTCAAAACATGCACATGCTAGTCAACAACAAGCAAGCAGGACTTAGGAATGAGCAAATGCAGGTTCACTACAGTGGCATTGAACATGACGAGAAGCAAATTTGAGCTTGACTATCCTAGTTTGGAGCAGGCCACCAAGGAAATGTATGGGCCCAATCCTGGACACACTGAACACATTCCATGACGAGGATCGTATGGTCATCGCTGTGTGCTCCCGCAGGCAACAGTCATCCAATGTCACCTGGATGTTGCTCCTACCCTGGATGTCAATATAAGGGCTTGCACCTGGACAAGTGTGAGCGATGTGGAGCTGGTGCCTTTCACGCTGTGTGCATATTCAAGAGCGGCCTCCTTCCTGACAGCTCGTTTTTGCAGCCACTGTGCCACCACTGCCTGAGGGAAGTACACCACCCAGAGGGGCCTGCTGTTAGCGATCCCTTGGAGGAGGCGGACTCAGCCACACTTCTGCCAACTTTGACCAGTGATGCAGTTGCCGAAAAACCTTCCATGGAGGTCGACACACAGGCAGGCATTTCAGCAGCAGCTGCTTGTGGTGGTGATGTGAGCATCGACGATGGCAGGGCAACCAATGGCTTTGCCCAGAGCAGCGATGGTATATCAGCCAATGGCCTCCCCCAAATCAATGATAGCAGGGCAACCAATGGCACTGTCCAGATCGACTGCGCCAGAGCAGAAGATGGTGCTGTCCGGGTCGGCGATGCATCAGGTGGATACGCGAATGGCACACTTGGCGAATCACAAGCACCTGGCTGCGGCGACTGCCGCCGTCTGGAGGCAAACGCGCTTTTGTGGTAATATCACCTTTGCCTTATTCACCATTCTTCTTGGATCATGGGGGGTACGGGGGCTCACATTGGTTGAGGGGCTGGACATTTTCATTCAGTGCACATTGTTCTTTTTGTGGGCCCACAGTGGAGCTGAGAACATGCAAACTGTGCCTTCAGTTTTTGTGAATGTTAAGAGTATCAGCTCAGTTCATCCACATTGTACTTGTAGCATATTTGTAGCATGTTTTTGGGCCCAAAAGGTCCTGGTTTGCAAGATTGCTTTGTGAAATGCAACTTGGCCTCTGCTCTGGTGCATTTAGAAATTGAACTGAACAAGTGCATTTTGAATTGCTCTTGCTTCCACCCTGGATGCCATGTAGAGAAAATATATTGCAGGACGACCTGTCTGTCACAGTGACAAAGGAAGGAAATGCAGATTGAAACCCTATATGAGAATGTGGTTGGTGTTTTTGCTGCACGTTCTCCCCTCTGTTGCATCTTCAGTTCAGCTGTTGTTTATGTATTTCACAGTGAGTACTTTTGTGCATGTGGGCAGAGTGTTTCCAATATACCTCAACTCTGATGCAAAGGACCACCAACACATATCAATTATTGCTGTTTTGGTTCGTTCCAGCTCGTGCTCCATCGAGCCAGCTGTGCGTCTAATTTGCGGCACAGGCTGAAGTACCAAGTGCCAGAATGCAGAGTCATCACATTGTTGCCTTGGCTATGTCTTTGCTGCTGTGCTGTGCAGCTGTGACTGGGTAGGATACTCTCCTTGCATGCACAGTCACTGATGTACTGCTGGGCACAATACCCCAAACTTCTGAAACATAGCGTTGCTGATGTGGTTGCAGGCAAAGCCAGACATGGTTGCCTTCAAGCAGCTCAGGGCAGTGTATCCCCCACCTGCAATCCATGGGCACATTCCAGGTGTGCAAGTAGGCGACATCTTCAAGTGCAAGGGCGAATTGGCGATTTTGGGAGTGCACAGGCAAATCATGAGGGGAATAGACTTCAGGTGAGCATGGGCTCAGTCATAACCGAACTGAACAAACCAAACAGGACTTCGAGTTC